AAAGGGTGGTGATGGTTTTGGCATTTTTTGAAGGGTTTCTGTCAGGATAGAAGGTGATTTTTGAGGTGAGATTATGGGCAGCATTTGCTCAAAACGAGCTGCAGAAGATGTAAATATCAATAAGAATGAAAGGCAGATAGAGGTGGGTAAGTCTTCTGTGCAATTGGTTGCTCCCACAATATTCATTAGAGAAGAGATTCTGGTAGATGTTCTTGGCCGAAAAGATGCTCGTCATCTGTCGAAGGAACATGTTGGGAATGTTATTGTTTCATTGGAAGGAGGAGGAAAGAAAACGAAACTTGTTGATGAGAAGAAGAAAGGCCGTCATGGATCGGTAGCAATGGATTCAGAGTCCATTGATGACCAACCACGTAGCATGAGTATGATGATTAGCATGCGTCCTTCCGCTGAAACGGAAGCATGGCCACAATGGTTAACAGCAGCTGCTGGAGAAGCCGTCAAAGGGTGGCTGCCTCGACGAGCAGACTCTTTTGAGAAGCTAGACAAGGTTCAGTTTGTAAAACTTATGTTTACTTGCCTGTTGAATTAGATAACGTGACATGAAATAATTTATTTTCGATGACTGTCAGGGTTTTATTTCATTGTTTGGTTGGAACAAAACTGCAACATGGAGCATCTCTTCTTGTTAACATTTAGCATTAGGATAATATTGTTATGTGCTTCCGAAAATAATCGTATGAAAGCACTAGAAGGAAATAAATGGTATTACTATCAGTCCAAATTAATGCAAGAAAGATTAGATAAAATGTTAAGATGCTAGAGAAGAAGAAGACAATCATTTATATAAGAGCTGTATCAGTCCTGTAAAATGAGACTCGTTTATGGAGCAGAAATTCTGACTTAATGAAATCTTTACTATGCTGGTCTGTTAGTTGCATAAGTGCAGGCAAAGTTAATTTCTAGTAACAAAACACGAGGGAGATCAAGACACATGGTTTGTATCATATCGACATTTTGAGGTCTTCTTATGTGTTGCTTTTAAAATGAAATGATGTGCAGATTGGACAAGGAACTTACAGCACTGTATTCAAGGCTCGTGACCTTGAAACTGGAAAAATTGTAGCAATGAAGAAGGTGCGGTTTGTCAATATGGATCCGGAAAGTGTCCGTTTCATGGCTAGGGAAATCGTTATTTTGCGCAGGCTTGACCATCTGAATGTTATGAAACTCGAAGGAATAGTCACTTCGAGGATGTCAGGGAGCTTGTACCTTGTCTTTGAGTATATGGAACATGACCTTGCTGGGCTTGCAGCAAATCCTAGCATCAAATATACAGAAGCTCAAGTACCAATGATCTTATCTGTTCAATTTTATGATTTTTTCCATATTTGGAAAATGGCTTCTCTTAGTTTCTGCTACCATGGAAGTCATATAACTTATCAACTTGCCATTCATGTCTAAGTCTTACAAGGAAATTACTCGTGCTTGCAGATAAAGTGCTATATGCAACAACTTCTACGTGGACTTGAACACTGCCATAAACACGGTGTCTTGCACCGAGACATCAAGGGCTCAAATCTTCTAATAAACAATGATGGAGTTCTCAAGATTGCAGACTTCGGTCTGGCAACTTCTTATCAGCCCGATCAGAGTCTGCCTTTAACAAGTCGCGCAAGATTGCAGACTTTGGTCTGGCAACTTCTTATCAGCCTGATCAGAGTCTGCCTTTAACAAGTCGTGTAGTAACTCTTTGGTATAGGGCACCGGAGCTTTTGCTTGGTGCTACAGAGTATGGACCTGCTATTGATATGTGGAGTGCCGGCTGCATTCTTGCTGAATTATTCACTGGCAAGCCTATCATGCCTGGAAGAACAGAAGTAAGCTCATTTGCATATATGGTTATCTTACTTGCATCTTAGCCAATACTAGGCAACAAGCATTACAAGTCTTCTATGCTTTGGAATCTTCAACTTCCTTCTATGGTCTACATCGTTTTCATATCTTCACAGAAGTTGAAGATGGTCATTTAAGCACCTACGGGAAATTATCATAAGAAAATGTGTCTCTGTGCCATTTATTTCCCAATGCATGACTTTGGACCACCTACAGAGAATCAGAAGACATTGTGATTTCTATCTATCATCAGTCCACAGAATTGTATTTGCTCTTACGAACTATCATCTTAATGATTACAGGTAGAGCAAATGCATAAGATTTTTAAGCTTTGTGGCTCGCCCTCTGAGGCCTACTGGACGAAAAAAAAGTTTCCACATGCAACTAGTTTCAAGCCTCAGCAGCCTTACATCCGCCGTATTGCTGAGACATTCAAAAATTTCCCTCCTTCAGCTTTGACACTTGTTGATAAGCTCCTGTCAATGGAACCACAAGATAGAGGATCAGCCACTTCAGCTCTTCGAAGTGAAGTAATTATTTCTAATGTTTTATTTAATTTTAGACCAGATTCCTATCATATTCTTCTTCATGCAATCTGCATAAGGAGTCATGAACATCAAACTTATGGTATGAATTTATAATCATATACCTTCCAGCAGACACAAAAAAATTGCTGGCAACATAGTTGACTCGCAAACCATTTTCTTGTGAAAAGCTTACTTAAACCTATAGAATTGATTTTTTCGGTTTAAAATATTTTGATCTTATATTCTGAACATAGCATAAAGACAGCACTAGTACTGGTTGTTTCCTGAATTTGGCTTGATGAAATGAAAATGCAAATGTTATAATGAACTGATTGCCTCTGAAGAGTGTTTGGACCTGCTAGCAGTGGATTGAGTTAGATGGATTTATTTATTATTGAAATTTTAACTTACAGTTCTTTAGAATAGAACCCCTCCCGTCTGATCCATCTAGTCTACCAAAATATCCTCCAAGCAAGGAACTGGATGCCAAGATGCGAGATCAGGAAGCAAGAAGGTACGTGACAAGTAACATTATCATAACATCTTGAGGGAAAATTTTATCTTACACAACGCTCATTAGCAATTTCACAAGTAAAATAAATTCAATCAGGTATGACACGATAACAGTACGAATTTAATCTTAAACAACATTCTGAATACACATTTTAATTTTAAATTTCAGGCAAAAAGCAGAGGCAGTAAAAGGACGAGGACCAGAATCTGTTAGAAGGGGTTCAGGAGATACTAAGAAAGCTCCCACTTCAGAATTCACTGCTCAGGGACAGCCAAAAACTATATGTAGCAGTTATAAATATAATATCCCGGAGGATGGAAGTTCTAGCTTCCGATTTGAGCCTCCTAGAGTATCGAAGAAGAATAGTCTCAAGCATTCTGCTTCAGTGATTCACCATTCTGCAGTAGGATTGTCATTAAATAAGAGTGTAGATTGTACAGAAAATAATCCAGAATTGAGGTCAAATAAATCTCGCATGTCGCAATCAGGAGAGATATCTAGCTCCTCCCTTAAGAAGAAGGAAAGAGCTCCTAGCATAGATTCTTCAGCGGTAAAGAATCATCCACCTTCGTCAATCTTTCAAATTTGTTTCTCTATATTCAACAAAGTTAAATGTTAAAATCATAACGGATACATTCATCCAACTGCCACCCATATATATGAATATGGATTTTGATGTGCAAGGAAGCTATTTACTCATGGAGAACAGTTCGAGAAAAATTGCCATAATTTTAAGACTCTTCATATTGTTTCCGCTACCAGCAAACTCTTGTCCAGCAATAGGAGTTGAAGTTTTATGCATTACAATACAATTGATAGCTGTGGATTTCGAAACAAATTGCAAGTTTTAGATAGTATGTTACCCTAGTTACAAGCATGTCAGACATTCAAATTTGACAGTGCATATTTCTTTCTTTACTCTCCATTTTTCCCCACGTAGCTTTTCATCCTTCTTTTTCTGTGTTAATTTGAACTGCTATTGTGTTATGCCTGGTCATTTGACAAAAAAGAAAATCTGGTTTCAGGGGTTTGTTCCCAGGAAAAACAGGATCCATTACTCTGGACCATTGATGCCTCCTGAGGGAAACATGGAAGAAATACTCAAAGAGCACGAGAGACAGATCCAGCAGGCTGTGCGTAAAGCACGTCTCGAGAAATCGGGGACCAAAGATAACCTTGACGTTTATAAGCAGCTACATCATAACAGATGACACAAAGGGTAATTCTTCTCCATCATGCCTTAAGGCAGCATCCTTTTGGTGTCTTTCTCCTCACCCTGCAGAACAATTTACCCTCCAGTCAGAAGGGTCTGTCCATGCCATCAAACAAAGCATATGTGATGTGCTGCTGGAGCTTCACTGGGATAGAGTGGGGATTGTGAGACGCCGTTTTGAAGTAAACTTGCATTTTAACGGAGAAAAGGATGAAGGTTTGTTCTTGTATTTATTTGAAAATACATAAAGAGGTAGGACTTTGTTCTGTATAGTGGATAGTGTTGTTGATTGATAAGTAGATACGGTATTCAGACGTAGTCAAGTATCCAATTTATCTTTCAAATCACTGCTGAAATGGTTAGAACAGAAATAAATTCATTCCGGCTGCTTCTAGTTTGGACATTTGTCTGTCGGCAGTTTCATGTTCAGGCCCGTTGACAAAGGGGAAATTAAAGCAGTTTCACACTCGCCATTCTTTGCTTTTGCTCAATTTAACTGGGGATGACAATCGATGCAGGCAACTTTTCAAAAGATCAAGAGTTGACAACCGTACCACTGACACAGAATTTTCTTTAGGAAAAAGTTCAGTGAATAGGTGGCGATCTGAGCTCCAAAAGTACATTTAAGTACTATCAATCTGCATAGCAAAGCTTACAGGTGAATTGATTAGTGCATATGCTTGCCAGGCTTAAACGGGAAGTTGAGAGTGGTGGGCACTTCAATTCCAGATTTTCTTTTATGAACACAATGCTCAGCCCTTAGGCCTACGGCTACTTTCACCCGAAAATTTTTACAGATGTATTTCTTACAGCAAAAAGACCAGCTTAACTTTTTCTTAAATAATCACTGTAACATAAAAGAGCCATAATTCTCTGGGTTTTTAAGGGGAAATGAGAGGAGAAAAAAGAGATTCTAATTAACAAAGATGTGAGTTTCTGTACATTTAACTTCATTACCTTAGTTATATATCTGGCTATAGCTTCAGGAATGGTTTATTGATTTGGGGAACACCGATGGCTCATAATAATTACCTACACATCCCGCTTAGGCTTCCGGCTTAGTTCCGAGTAATGACCACCCATTCGCTGCAAAATCTCCTCCCATAAACTTTCTGATGATGAACCTGATGAACCCCCACAAATCAGATTAGAACTACATGCAGCCACATACCAATAATCTGATTCAATCTCCTCCCTCAACTGATCTAGCTGCCACCCAGCATAACCAACAAAGAATCTGAAATCCTGAGGCTTCAGCACCCCTTTCTTCACAAGTGCTGCAGCTTCATCCAAACTGTTTCTAGCACCAAAACACAGGCCAGGAATTACCTCTTCAAACTCTTCAAGCTTTGTTTTCTCCCCTGTTTTTAATAAAAACATGCTTGCCTCGAGGGGTCCCCCAAAATGAAGAGAAAAATCAGCAAAAGTGGTGGCTAATTCCATATTAGTGGGCTTCATGTGCCTGACCTTCTTGTTAAGTGGACGGTTTATGACAACTCCAAAAGGTCCCTCTTGTGGATGTCTGGTTCCAGATCTGAGGAGGAGAACAACAGTTCTTTCAAAAGTGCGAACTCCGTCAAGTTTTTCTGTAGCAACAAGGACACAACCAGTCTCAGGTACAGGAATAGGGTGGGCCCATTTCAGGCCAAGGGGTTTTGACTCCTGGGGTGTCCCAGTTTGGTTGTGAGCATCAGATTCTGCCTTCCCTGCCTGTGAAAACATTACAAGTGTAAATTTTGAAGTCTATACAGCATAGATTTAACATCATCAATTTGATTATCTTATTTTTCATGGTGTGAGGACATGGAGTCCATCTTCAACTCGTCACTATGTGAATAAACCAATCTGATAGGAAGCCATACATCTTTATGGCTTCATCTGGTCGACCTCAATTACAAGACCCATCATAGCTACAAAACAGCACTGTTTCTTTCAGAAGGGGTAAAAAGGGACAAAAGAACTTGATGATAAGCTGTAGGTAAATTTTGTTGACCTGACTACATCAGATGTCATGAGCTCAAGGGAAATTCAGCGTTTTCCAATTGTTCATAGAAACAGGGAAGGAACATACAAAATAAAATAAAGTGGTTCCCATTTCAATTAAGTTACTTGCCCTTTTCTGATATGCCAGACCCTCTATGTGAGAAGTGAGAACCCAGCAGATCAGAATTTACTTACATGAAATCGATTTCCTTTTGTTAGAGGGAACAGCTCATTCATGAACAAGCTACACAGGGTAGAATCAAAGAGGAATTAATGCTGCTACCCTGGACCATCATAAGATCTACTACCAGGATGACAAATAACAGGTTGAACAGAGTGCTAATAACATTTAAAAGTCATTTTTCTAGAGCTTTGTAACTATAACATTCAAAATAAAATAGATATATAGCCCAATAAGTAAAGAACGTTCACCTTCTCCTGAGCAAATAAATTTGCCCTAAACTCTCTCCAATCAAAGTTTACCCTATGAGATTTTTGGGAAGCAAAGTCATTGGCTTTGTTCCCATCAGGAGAGTTACTTCCTTTTGAACCGTCTCCATTTCCTGTCCACATTAAATTAAGTTCCATTTAGCAGGCACAAAATTCAATATGCTATTTTTCACTAAACATCCAGATATAACATTCTGGCAGTGCTCATTTAATCATATTGAAAATAGTATATCTTTCACTGGAACAAACTCACTATGCATGACTGGTGAAAGATAGTAACTAATTCAACCTCAGGGCAATACACATGCAAGTGGATGAACTTGGGGGAGGGGGAGGGGGGGAGGGAGGGGGGTGGCTGGCAACAAAAGGCAATCTGTTGAGAAAGCTGGCAAAAAAAATCACGCACCCC